CTCCAGTTGGCCCGCATGACGGCCCCAGAGGCCTCCAAGAGCCCTCCCAAGAGGGCCCAAGAGGCCAAAATCGTCAAATTCCTATGGGAAAACGTATATTTTTAGCATATACGACTTTCTCGTCTTCACGGCGTCGAAGACGGTCCAAGAGATCCCCAAGACCGACCCGCGACGGCCCAAGAGACTCTCAAGAGGCGCCCAAGACGGCCGAAGAGGGCGCCAAGACGGCCCAAGAGGCTCCCAAGAAGGCCCACGAGGGCCCCAAGAGGGGCCCAGAGGGTGAGCCCGAATCGAAAATCTGAGCATCTCGCCCAAAGACGGCCCTAGGAGGCCCCAGGAGGCGCCCAAGAGGTCCCAAGAGGCCCCCGAGAGGCCCCCAAGACGCCCCAAAAGGCTCCCAAGAGGCCCAACAGAGGCCCCAAGAGGACCCGAAACGGCCCGCGAGAAGCCTCCCAAGAGAGCCCAACGAACTTTCACTTCGTCTCATTCACAATACCCAGGCACGGTGGCGGGATGGACCGAGGGTCACTAGATTTTCCATCTCCTTATCCCGAATTCGGGTTACACAGCCCCAAGACAGCTCAAGAGGGCCCGAAAACGGCGCCAGAGGGATCCAAGAGGGCCTCATGTTACAGGCCTCTTGGACCGTCTTGGGGTTATCGCCGGCCGTATTCAAAATATAATGGGCCGTCTTGGAGCATCTTGGAGTGGCCGGAGACGGCCGGAGGCATCCTGGGCATTCCTTGGAGATGTGAGGGATCTAGTCCGTTTAACCAGATCCCCCCCCCCTGCAAGCCAGCCGGACCGAACCCCAAGGGGACGGCGGATAGCTCGGGATCTTGAAGGTGGACGCGGGAGCCGCGTGGTAACTGACCGCTTGCGCACAACACTAGTAGTAGCGGTTCCAGGGCGTGAATCTGGCTGCACTTCTGTGGGTCCTGGTCGCCGAGGCATGAACCCAGAGTACTTTGCAATGGGTCGTGGCCTCGGAGGCGCGTATCGCGTGTACTTTACGAGGGATCTGCGCCTCGGGAGCGCGAGCGTCGTATATTTTCGAGGGGTCCTTGACTCGGGCACGTTTTGACGTCCCCATGTGATGCCACACCTGCAACGAACGTTCGAACATTCGCTTCCCGTTCTTGTCAGGTCAGGTTTCGCTTACGCGTCCGTCATAGATGCACAGCCGCAGTCAGTCAGTCGCCACTTTCATGAGCTTCCGGTAGGTCCAGCGGAGCGGGTAGTCACGCGGATTCCTGCGAGACCGCGCGGGGGGGCTACGAACTGCGCAATTGCCGCCACTTTCGTGGTCTTCTGGGAGGTCCAGCGAAGTAGGTAGCCCGGCGGATCCCTGCGGTACCTGGCGGCTCTTTGGGGGGCTGCGAACTGCGCAACTGCCGCCATTTTCGTGGTCTCCTGAGAGGTCCTGCGGAGTGGGCAGTTGCGCGGGTCCCTGCGGGACTTCGCGGCTCCATGCGGCGCCGCGAGCTGCGCGAGCGTCTCCTTCTTCTTGTGCTCCTGGGAGGCCCATCAAAGTGGTTCGCTACGCGGATTCCCTGCGGGACCTGGCGACTCCCAGGGGGCAGCGCATCGAATAATTGTCGCCATCTCCGAAGGCTTCGCGGAGGGGGTGGTCCCACCACAGATCTCTGCGGGACCTCGCGGCTCTCTTTGGGGGGCTGTTGCGAGCTGCGCAATTGCAGCCACTTTTGTGGGCTCCCGGGGGGTGCCAGAGTGGGCAGCCCAGCAGACCATCAGGTCCCTGCGGGACTCGCGGCTTCCGTCTCCTCTTTCGTGGGCGCCTGGGAGGTTCAGCGGAGTGGGCAGCCCTGCGTATACCTCTGGGCCCTCGCTGCTCCTTGGGGGACTGCGCGCTGCGCAACCGTCGCCATTCTTCTCGGTCTCCTGGGAGGTCCAGCGGAGTGGGCAGCCCGGCGGGTCCTTGCGGGACCGCGCGGCCCCCGGGGGTTAAGTCGGGCATGTCCCTTTACAGGAGGGATATTCGAAAATAGGTAAAAAATAGTCAGGGGATGATTTTTTGATTTTTTCTTGGCCATTTTGGGGCATTTTTTGATTGTTTATTTTTCGTCCAAAATCCCCCTGTAGGGGGACAGGCCCGACTTAACACTGGGGGGGGTTGTCATTTAGTGCACGGCGCAGTTGAACCACAGGGCTCAGGAGGGACACAAAAACACAGACACAATGAATCGTCGATTTCCCAGAAAATATGGAAAAATATGGGAAGTGGGGGAGAAGACAACAACCCAGGAAATGTGTGAACATATGGAGAATCCAGTTGTTTGTTTGTTTGTGTGTGTGTGTGTGTGTGTTTGTGTGCGCGTGCGTGTGTGTGTGTGTGTGTGTGTGTGTGTGTGTGTGTGTGTGTGTGTCCCAGGGCCCCTCAAGGGCGCAGAGCGCTTGAGCGCCACGTGGCGTGTGGCGCTGTCTCTGGCGGCCGACTTCGCCCCCCTCTCCTCGGCTGCCTGCCGCCCGCAGCAGCAGCGGGGACGCAGCAGGCAGATGCAGCGCACGGCGCCGTTGCTCAGGAGGAAAAAAAACACACAGACACAATTAATCGTCGATTCCCCAGAAAATATGGGGAAATATGGGAAGTGGGGGGAAGACAAAAACCCAGAACATTCGGAAACATATGGGGAATCCGGTTATTTGTGTCTATCTATTTGTGTGTCCCAGGGCCCCTTGAGTTACTCTCATCAACCTGCTTTTCCTTTCTTCTCCATCCTCCTCGCCCTCCTCCCCCCTCCTCCTCTCCCACCTCTGCCCCCCGTTCTATGCTCCTCGCCGTGCTTGTCGTCTCCGTTCCTTTTGCGATCTGAGTTGCGCAAGTGTGCGACGCGCGTGGCCCGAAGTTGTTTGGCGACGCCTTTGAGGGGGCCGCATATCTTGCAATGTGCAATGTGTTGTGTTTTGATGGTACGACGCGTTCATATAATTCGTCGCCTCGCATGAAGAAATTGTTGGGTACGTCTCGGGTAGTTCTTGTTGGAGTTCAGTCTGAGATGGAGTTCTTGATCTTATTTTGATGCTTCAGCCTTTTTCTATTCCCGCCGTCCTCTCTCTCACTAAGACCCACAGATGGTCAGACTCGCTCGCGGTCACAACCGCCCACTCAGACTCACCTACATTCAGACTCACTCACATTCATATTCGCCCACACTCAGAGAACCTAGACCCACACTCCCCAAGAGCCTTGGGGCACTCCACTGCGTGCTAACGGCACGGTGATGGATCGAGGTGCCCGCGGCAAGTTTCGCCACGCATTCGTGCTGTCTTGGGCTCCAGTGGGGCTTGTCCTCTGTCGGCCCCTGGGGCTCTCTTTGTCAGGGGCCCTCGTGAGTTTTTTGGGGTCCACTGTCTCGGCGACGTCTCGGAGTCCTCCTGGGGTACAGTCAATCCGTATAGTAAGGATGCGCGGTAAGGATGCAAGGGCCTTGGATTCCCATTTCGAAGCTTTTCGAGCGGGGCGCGGCTAACGAAAGTGGCCAAGGACGGAACGAGGAGGCAAGGATGCAAGGGTACCCTCGGGAAGGTTCCCCATCCCTACTATGCGGGTTGACTGTATCTCGGACGCCCGGGGCTGTTTCGGTACTGCCGTGCCCCCAAACCGAAATCCCTTCTCCGAACGGGCTGAGCTCAGCCCCCAGGGAGAGGTTTGGGGGAGGGCCAGGCGTCCCCCTCGCCGGCACCCCAAGGGGGCCGGCGAATGCAACCACACTCCAGAGACAACAATGATGATGATGATGATGATGATGATGATGATGATGATGATGATGATGATGATGATGATGATGATGATGATGATGATGATGATGATGATGATGATGATGATGATGATGATGATGATGATGATGATGATGATGATGATGATGATGATGATGATGATGATGATGATGATGATGATGATGATGATGATGATGATGATGATGATGATGATGATGATGATGATGATGATGATGATGATGATGATGATGATGATGATGATGATGATGATGATGATGATGATGATGATGATGATGATGATGATGATGATGATGATGATGATGATGATGATGATGATGATGATGATGATGATGATGATGATGATGATGATGATGATGATGATGATGATGATGATGATGATGATGATGATGATGATGATGATGATGATGATGATGATGATGATGATGATGATGATGTGATGATGATGATGATGATGATGATGATGATGATGATGATGATGATGATGATGATGATGATGATGATGATGAGAGGAGGAGGAGGAGGAGGAGGAGGAGGAGGAGGGGCCGGCGAAGCCGTCGCAGCGGCAGACCGTACGGGAGATCACACGGGAGACCATGCGGGAGACCGTGCAGGAGACCGTGCGGCAAGCCACGGGCCACGAGCCGCCGAGTCCGGCTCCCGAGGAGCTCGCGCGTGCCTTGGATAGGGGGCCACATGCGAGCCCTACCCCTACCCCCCACGATTTCTGAGGGGGAGGGTGGGGTTCACTTCGCTCGGGAGCTCCCGAACGAAGTGAACCCCACCCTTCCCCTCAGAAATCGTGGGGGGTAGGGGTAGGGTTCGCATGTGGCCCCCTATTGGACTGATCGTGTAGGGCCGTGGCAGACAGGCTGTGTGGGGAACAGCAGCAGACACACAGACTTTCGAAGGTCCGCCGGATTTTTGGATTGTGCCGGATCCCCCTGGTGTCGCCTCCAGCACCGCCCCTGGCGCACTTCGCGCGTCAGGGAAGGGGAGTGGAACAGCACATCAATGCCGCTTCTCCCTCCTCCTGCCTTTTCCTTCTCCGCCTCTGCCTTGAGTGCCCGTTGCATTCAGAGTCGCCCGCGGTCAGCCCTCGGCTGTGCGCGTGCATCAGTCTTCTCTTCCGGCGCCCGTGCCCATACCTGCTCGCTCCTGGCTGGTTTGGCGTTAGCAGCGTTCCTTGTCGTCAAGGAAATCGGCGCTGGCCACCGGCGCGCGCGCGCCGCGCCGCCTCGCAGGAGCGGGTGTTCGACACCGACAAGGGCGTAGAGCAGGCGGAGCGCCCCCCCCCCCCGTGACGACGACAACAACAACACCAAAGACCACGTTCATGACGACGACGACGCCGACGACGACGACCACGACGACCACGACGACCACGACGACGACCACGCCGACCACGACGACGACGATGATGGCGGCGGCGGCGGCGACGACGACGACGACGGCGACGGCGATGACGACGGCGACGACGACGACGACGACGGCGGCGGCGGCGGCGACGACGACGACAATGACGATGACGGGATTCAATGTCAAGACCTTTGCGGTTTCGCCGCTCTTGGAGCTTCTTGGAGGCTCCTTGGGGCCACTGTGTGGCCCTCTCGGGGTCATCTTGGAGGCCTTTGGGGGCCCTATTTGGGGCTCTCTCGGTGCCCTCCTGGGGCCCTCGTGGGGCTTCATTGGGGTCCTTGAGGCCTTTGGGGGATTCCTTGTGGCCATCTTGGCGCCATCGATCAAGAGAGGGGGGGCCGCCGATTTCGCCCCCCCCCCTCCCCCCCCCCGTGTCGGGGCCAGAGAAATCGCTTCTGGGCCCACTTGGGCTGCTCCTTGTGCGGTCCCGAGCGCTCTTGAGGCCGTCTTGGGGCCCTCCTGAGCTCCTCTTGGGGCCATCGTGTGGCATCTTGGAGCCATCTTGAGACCTCGAGAGCCACTCGGACGAAAAAGGGCGAGACGGCACAAAACATGGGAAGCACAGTGGCTTGAAGGATTTTGGTTTCCTGGGACGATCATGAAGGCTCTTGGAGACATCTTGGAATCTATCCTGAACCAGTTGAGATATCTTGAGTGATGTTGGAGGCCATCTTGGGCTCTCTGAGGCACTCTTGGGCCCAACTGGGGCCAAAGAGGACCCTCTGACACCTCGCGGGGCATGGGGTCCAGACCGGGGAGGAGGGATATGGGGGTCGGGGTAACACTTTCCCCGAAGGGGAAATACGAGGTTAGCGACGAACTCGTTAGACCACTAACGCCCTAAATGGCTGATAGAGGTTCCTTGTCTGCCTCCAGTATTATGAGGTAGGTGTATCCCAGCGAAAGCAAGAGATCCAGGAGGCTTCCACGCCACACATGGAGGACCCCAGCGACAGACAAATTGGCTCCGCGTGGCTCTCGGGCACAAGTAACGGGATCCAACTGGATCCACGCTTTTCCACGCTTTTCCACGCAAAGACAAACCTCAGGCCCAGAAACGCAGGTGGTGCACGCAATCTGGTCTAAGATGTGTCGTGACAGTTCGGTCGTTCAAACCCACATCGCCTCGCCTGCACGAGCGAACAGTTGCAGTCCGCCGTTGGCCCATAGACTGGCGTTAGGCGAAAACTCTCTCTCGAGCCTGGCGCAATCCCAAAACAAACCCAAAGCATTCGACAAGGCTCCTCGGATAATGAAGGAGGCCGTCACCTAAGCCCTGGAGAGGTATGCTCAAGGAACCTATTTGGGAAGCGGCACAGCCAATGGCCTCCTTGCCCAAAATGACTGTCTCACGGGCCCGCCAGTCAACATTGAATTGGATGACACTGATTCCACCCACACATGATCCTAAGCTTACCGCGCATCTTTACAGCTTCGGAGCTACGCAGTGATACGGAGTCGGGACTTATCCAATCTATGATAATACCAGTATCATGTCTGATACATATTGTGTAGCATTCGTGGTACATCTTGATATATGCCATCATTGGATTATTGGAGCTTCGCCGTGCGATCTGATTTCCATGAGTGCTGCCACCTTGCCTTCGTTTGGTCACTCGGTACTATGTTTCACCACGGCCCCACAATGGCTCTCTCTCTCTCTCATCTGGTCTCTTCTCTTCTCTTATTGCATCTTCCTTTCGCTTCTCTTCTGTTGTCTTCTGTTCTCTCGTACTATTCACGATGTCTCTGTTTCTCGATGCATGTATTCCAGCACCTCTTCTTCCATAGTGTGAGCGCATCGTGTTCGCATCCAGGTGGTGCTGGGCCTGTATGTTATCAGGGGAGACAACATTGTGCGCCCTGCTGTCCCTCGCTTTGGCTCTCCACGTCTCTCTTCCCTGCTTGGAGAAACCTTCATGCACCCAGGTCTCGCACATGTGGTTTGAGAGCGGAGGGGGAAGAACCTGCCCTTGGATACCATCGCTCGATTCCCTGACCGCCTAGGAGGAGGAGGAGGAGGAGGAAGAGGATGAGGACGACGGAGGAACGGGAAAAGGGGGATGGGGATGGGGGCCAGATGAGAGGATGGTTGTGTCCTGTGGTTGCTACTAGAAGATGCTTTCGATTATTGCCTCCAACGTCACCTCGCTCATGGTTTTAATCTGGAACTCGACCTCGGTCTAGACCTGATCTCATCATCGCTCTCCTCCTCTCTCTCTCCCTCTCCCTCTCCCTCCCCGTGTCTCTGGTCTCTGCCTGTGTCTCCCTATCAACAGGGCCCCTGGCGGGTATGGACGCCGTCTCGGGGGCTGACAAATTTCCCTCCGGGGAAATCCCTGGACTCTCTCTCTCTCTCTCTCTTTCTTCCCCTTATGGGGTCCAGCCCCTCTCGAAAGGACGCGCTGCTTTCTGGTGGACACCCTTCTTCTGATCAATGATTCCCTTGCCCTCTCACCGTGCATTGTGCATTGTGTGTACTCTGGGTTTCTGAATAAGCGTGGGGGCGGTACCCCCACGACGGGGGTCAACCTCGCCTCGTCGTCGCAACGCAACGGTGGTCGGAGCGCCTTCGGCGCGCGGTGGCTGCCCGCGACGGGGGTCGATGTGGGGCTGTCGGCGGGGGTGACGCCCCCCCGACGCTTATTAAGAAACCCAGAGTACCCTCCTCTGAGTCATCCTTGAGTCTGCCCTTCTGCCTTCCCTTTTCAATCGAATTTGGCCAAGCCAGCTTAGTGGCCGAACGCCAATCGAATCGTCGGTGCCGAAGGACAGAGGAGGGCATGGGGGCACGGGGGGTGACCCTCGTGCCCAGTCCAGTCCACCTCCCTGCCGCTGTCTGAGCGCCCAGCGACAAGGCAAGGGCGGTGTCCATTTCGATTCGATCGTCCCGGTTCGATATCGATCTCGGCCGACCCGCTCAGATTCGATTCCTCATGCTTCGCATGGTGCTCGTCCTGAGCACGTTCAGACTGGGCGTTGGGTGTTTTGCCCTGCTCGTCTGCCGCACTGTTCTGCCGCGTCTCTCTGCGCAGTGGGGCGCTGCCAGTGCCACGGGGGGCGCATGCGCCCCCTCCTGTTTCAGCGCCAGGACGCGTGCGAATGTCCGCGAGGGTAATGATTATTCACCGCCTGTCAGCGCAAGGCAATGCCAAGTTCAAACCCTGATGATCATAGCAACAGTGCGCCATTCGTATACGTTTCCGCGGGCCTCTTGGTGGCTTCTTGGGCCGTTTGGGGGCTTTTGCGCCGTCTGGCCACTTCGGAGGCCGTCTTGTGGCTCTCTTGGGTAGTCTTGGGGGCCTCTTGGGCCATCTTTGAGGCCTCTCTGGGTTATCTTGGGGCCCTCTTGGGCCGTCTTGGGGCATCTTGGGGGCCTCTGGGGCCGTCTTGGGGCCTCATTGCGCCGTCTGGTTCCTTCGGAGGCCATCTTTGGGGTGTGGTGGCTGGAAAATTTCTACCTCCACGTCGGCACGTGGCCGCCTTGAGACAGGCGTTCCCGACGGCGGCACAAATTATGCTATTCGCGTCGCGTCGACGCGGCAGCGACAGCGACCCCAGCGTGGGCGTTCAAGGTTGAACGCTGCCAGCTGCCTTCACAACTCGGCCGATGCCGGACGGTTCGCGCTATCGGGGAGCCGCTCAAGAAGAATTTAGTACAGCTTGTATTATTTACTATTCAATGTTCATTTGTTTCTGTAGTTGACGATCTGTCTCATGATGCTCAACTATATATGGTGGTCCGCCCGGTGCCAGACACCGGAACGCAGGTCGCCAGGACATGAGCTTACCGCACCCAGTGCAGTGAGAGCCCCTGACATCGGCGTCACCCCAACATACTAATACTATGCTCGGGAGTGGACAGACCTCCTACCCTGACACGTCGATTAGCGAATTGTCCGTTTTCGGTTCTCGAGAGGCCGCCGCGGCCGTCGTTTTCCAGGCTTGCGCCCGCCAGGAATGGGCCCGAGGTCGTCTTCACTAAACCACGTTTTGCTAAAGTCGCCGAGCGCGTTCCACTACTCGCAAAGTGCCTATTCTCAAACGTCTGAAAAACACATGTCTGCTTTCGCGTAATTTATCGTAGATCCCTGCGGGGGATCCAGGCCATTTGCGAGTAGTGACTTTGCGAGTAGTGGAACGCGCTCGTCTATAAGGGGGGTTCTGTCCGGCCCTGGCTAATACTATGTGTGCGTCGCCCCCCGAGGGGCGACGCGCGCACCGAGAGATCTTATAGTATATGCGTCGTGGCGGGCGCTTTCTGGCCACAACGCTCGGGAAACGATATACTGCAAGATGGGTATACTAAATGTTCGGGTCGGACGCGCGCCTCCAAGGCGGACATAATAGTTGTAGTATGTCTCTGTGCGTCCCATAATACTACGTGCGCGTCGCCCCCCGAGGGGCGACTCGCGCACCGAGAAATCTTAGAGTTAAGTCGGGCTTGTCCCTCTACAGGGGGGATATTCCCAAACAGTCAAACAATAGTCTTGGGGGCGATTTTTTTAAACCATGGTTGAGAATAGTTGGAATCTGTTTTTTGAGTATCTCTTGATTTGCCGCCCAAGATCCCCCTACAGGGGGACAGGCCCGCCCTGAGGCTGATGCTATGTGTGCGTCGCCCCTCCTCCTCTCCTCCTCCTCCTCCTCCTCCCTCACCTCCTCCTCCTCCTCCTCCTCCTCCTCCTCCTCCTCCTCCTCCTCCTCCTCCTCCTCCTCCTCCTCCTCCTCCTCCTCCTCCTCCTCCTCCTCCTCCTCCTCCTCCTCCTCCTCCTCCTCCTCCTCCTCCTCCTCCTCCTCCCCCTCCTCCTCCTCCCCGAGGGGCGACGCGCGCTCCGAGCAAGCTCAGAGCTCTGTGCCTCGTGGCGGCGGGCGCCCGCGGAGGGGCGGCCCGCGGCCCGTCGTGCGAGCCGCGCCCGCCCCCGTCCTGCGCGGGGGGGGGGCCCTCCCCGTCTTGCGGGGGGGGCCCTCCCCGTCTTGCGGGGGGGGCCCTCCCCGTCTTGCGGGGGGGCGCCCCCGTCCTGCGCGGGGGGGCCCTCCCCGTCTTGCGGGGGGGGGGGGGACATTCCAACATAGTAACGCAACAGTCTGGGGACGATGTTTTGACCATTCTTGGAGTACAGTTTGGAGTATGTTCTATGTTTCGTCCAATTCCCGCCTGTATGGGGGCGCTCGCGAGGGCGGTCACGACCAGGGGGTTGGAGGCGGGCCTGTCACTCTAGAAGGGTGAAGGGTGAAGGGGTGCAGGCGGCCCGTCGTGCGAGCCGCGCCCGCCGCCGTCCTGCGGGGGGGGGGGGGCCCTCCCCTCTTCTCGGGGGCCCTCCCCGTCTTGCGGGGGGGGGAACATTCAAACATAGCAACGCAACAGTCCGGGGACGATTTTTTGACCATTCTTGGAGTATAGTTTGGAGTATTTTCTATTTTTCGTCCAATTCCCGCCTGTAGGGGGCGCTCGCGAGGGCGGTCACGACCGGGGGTTGGAGGCGGGCCTGTCACTCTAGAAGGGTGAAGGGTGAAGGGGTGCAGGCGGCCCGTCGTGCGAGCCGCGCCCGCCGCCGTCCTGCGGGGGGGGGGGGGGCCCTCCCCGTCTTGCGGGGGGGGAAGATTCAAACATAGTAACGCGATAGTCTGGGGACGATTTTTTGACCATTACTGGAGTACAGTTTGGAGCATTTTCTGTTTTTCGTCCAGTTCTCCCCTGTATGGGGGCGCTCGCGAGGGCGGTCATGACCAGGGGGTGGAGGCGGGCCTGTCACTCTGCAGGGGGAATACTCCAACATGGTAAAGCAATCGTCTGGGGACGATTTGTCGACCATTCTTGGGCGTTTTTGGCGTATTATGGAGTATTCTCTAGTTTCCGTCCAAAGCCCGCCTGTAGGGGGCGCTCGCGAGGGCGGTGACCATCAGAGGAGGAAGAGGTACCGATGCCGCTACCCTTCGCCCGTTTTCCCCTTTTTCGGCCTCCTCGGAGGCTCTCGTTGTCGCCGCTGGGTTCGCCTCGAGATCCTGGTCAGAACGCACCCCGGGAGAGGTCCGGGGAGTAGCGGTATCGATGCCTTTTGGTTTCCCCAGACTAGGGTGTGTGTGTGTGTGTGTCTTGTCTCCCTAATTAAAGCTGTGCGTAGCCCGCCTAGCTTTTAGCGGAAGAGGTTCGCTCTCGCCCCGCCGACCAAAAAGTGTGTGTGTGTGTGGTGGTGTGCGTGGGCGTCATGGCCAGGGCCATGGCGTCTCCCTGGATCTCGTGGCCCCTTCTTCTTCTTCTTCGCCGCCTCCTCCTTCTCCTTCCCCTCCTCCTTCTCCTCCGTCTCCTTCTCCTCCTCCTCCTCCTCCTTCTCCTTCTCCCCCTTTTCATGTTCATCTTGTTGTTATTCGTCGTCGTCGTCTTCTTCGTCTTCGTCTTCGTCTTCTTCTTCTTCTTCCTCCTCCTCCTCCTCTTCCTCCTCTTCCATCACGTCTCCTGGCCCCCCCTCGTTTGCTCACGTGCCTCAGGCCATTATCTGTGAAGCCCCCTCTTTGACGGCCCCCGATCTTTTTTGCTCTCTCCTCCCTCTCGCGGACGGCCTTCTTCCCCAGCTCTCCTCCTCCTCCGCCTCCTCCTCCTCCGCCTCCTCCTCCGCCTCCGCCTCCTCCTCCGCCTCCTCCTCCTCCGCGGCCTCCTCCGCCTCCTCCTCCTCCTCCTCCGCCGTCTCCTCCTCCTCCTCCTCCTCCTCCTCCTCCTCCTCCTCCTCCTCCGCCTCCTCTCCGCCTCCTCCTCCTCCTCGTGGCAGACGGCCAGCGCCCAGAGCCGATTCGAGGCGGCGGCCGATCGCCGCCTGCGGCTCCTCGGGGGGGGGGGGGGCCCTCTGGGCGGCCTCGG